CTCCTAGAGGGAAGGGCAAGGGAAAGACTCGAGATGCTGAGGAGCTCCGGCTGAGCTCACACATCCCACTGGAGACCCAAGTTCACCCAGCTGGGCTTTGCAGTGAGCGTTCATTGAGATCACCTTCCAGTTAGGTCTGAGATCACTCCTACAGCCTTGTAAGGACAGTATTGAATCCATACAGCCCTGCTCCTACAGGGGAACCTCCCCGCGGGAAGCGGGGGCCTCAGCTCAGCTCCGAGCACAGCGGACACAGCCAGCTCTGCACGGTGCCGTGCGTGGCCGTGGCAGGCCCGACCTGTTCACCACACGGAGCCGGCCCTGGAAGTCCCAGCACAGGGTGGGGACTCACCCTGGGGAGGCAGAGATACTCACGAGCCCGTTCGAGGGGGCAAGCTCTTGTGCACAACCCCTCTGCTCCCCTCCACGAAGGCGCTGGGAGGTTTGTGGTAGACAGAGGCCAGGGTCCCGATGTAGCAGATCAGCTCATCCAGAAGCGTCGGCTCGATGAGATCTGTCTCCTCAGAGATGAGGGGTTTCTCCGCCAGCACCACCTCCTTGGCGGCCACCGGGTCAGTGGAGAGCAGGCGCCAGTAGATGTAGCCACGGTCCCGCAGGTCGGGGTTGTCGGAGTCCTTCGGGAAGCACAGGAGTTAGTGCCAAAGCCATCGGGCAGGGGAAGCTGCAGCTACTACAGAGCATCTTGGCCCCCTCTAAGCCTTGCTGTAGTATAAGAGGGATCACGGGGATAAAAGTTAAAGCTATTTATGTCCCACCTCTGCCGTACACCTCCCTGCTACAGCAGCCTTAGCAGGGAAACAGCATGAGATGCCTCCTGCGCTATGGCAGACAGTGTCCTCGCTCTCCAGGACTTTAACCATCAGCTTTTCCAGAACTAAACTCCAATTATCTGCCTCCTGTCACGGGCGCTGCACTACCAAGCCATTCCCGCTGCCTTGGGGGGGATGACGAATCCCGCGGGAAGCTCTTCCCTCGCGCAGGAGCGGTGACCCACCTGCGTGGCCAGGCTCAGCACCTGCTGCACCAGCTCCTGCGTCTCGGTGGGCTTCTTCAGGAACAGCTTCACGATGGCTGTCAGCAGCTGCAGCTGAACCTGCGGGTGGACAAACAGGGTTAGGGAGAGACAGACAGACCGACCACACCATTTTTGTGCAAGAGTACGTGAATTTTCCCCATCCATGCTGCTCAGACGTAACCCCAACCTGCCTTTCAAGGGACCAAACACGTGGTGACCTCGTAAGCAGCGGTGACAAGTGTCAGGGCACTTTCCGTGGCTCCCAGCCAGGTCTGCAGCCCATTTCAAGCCGATTACCGCACCCTCAGCCTGTCAGAGCCCAGTAACCTCTGTGTCAACCTGTGGCAAGATCTTGGGACTGGGTTACATGGTCCCACAAGTGCGAAGGCCAGGACGTCCTCTGACTTCTATGAGGATAAGTAGCAGTGATTCACCTTCGACAGTCCCATTAGACTTGAGACAGGGCAGCCAGGATTTGCTGGCTTTGCTATTTTACATTTATAGACTTTCCCCTGTTGATCGTGACTTAGTTTCACAGTGTTTTGCACAGGCGGCTGCAGGAAGTTTCCACAGATGGAAACCCCCCAAAATTCCACAGGCAAAACCACTGCCCTCAGCTGCCCCGGCAGAAGGGGCAGGCGCGGCTCCCTCGGCTCATTTCAGCTGACTCCATTTTCCAACTCCAAAGGGCTGAGCCTGTCCTGGCACAGAGGAATGAACCAATGACCACTTGGTCCCTCCCAGCTATTAAAGGAGGGAAGGTGCTTGGGACACCACCATGGTGGCATTTCATGGGTCACATTCGACACCCAAAGTCACTGCGGGACGCCACTGCCCCAAGCGCCTGCAAGAAAAACACCTTCACAACCCTGCTAGAGTAAATTGCTTCAATAGCAATTAGCACAAGCTTTGTCACGGTGTCACCCTTCAACCAGTCACCCCACCCTCTGGCCACTGGTGGCCAGACCCCCCCATCGCAGGGGGGGCTGCCCCCTGTCCCACTGCACCTGGGTGCTCTCATCGTGGAAGCCCTCCAGGAAGCTCTCCAGCAGCTCGTCGGCGTTGTCAATCCGCTCGGCGTACTCTCCCACGATCCAGATCATGGCAGCCCGGGCTTCAGGCTCGTCCAGGGAGTCGAGGTTCTCACAGAGGGTAGCGATCACGCTCTCATACCTTCCCAAGGAGAAGACACACATTCACCAAAAGCAAGAAACCCAAGTCCTAGTTCCACGTCCCATCATCCTCAGCAGAAACAGGACATCGCTGAGGGCACCGGCAAGAGCCCCTGCCACCTGCCTGTGGCTGTCCCCTCTCCCCACGCCAATCCCTCTCCGGTCCCAGAGCATGTTCCCCTGCTCGCCAGCCCCACCACCGATTTAACTTCTCAGCCCCACTCATCTGGTCTCCCTCCTCTCTGCAGCAGCCCTGAGTCGCTGGCTATTCATGCAGACTTCCTCTTTGTTACTAATTCAGTTCATTAGTATTTATTATTACTATTAGTACACGACTTCCTGATTACACAGTTGCCTATTCATCCCAGTTCAGCTGGAACACTCTCTTCTCCTCCTGCTGCCCTCACTCCAGCATCAGGAGCGCTGAATTAAGAGCCAGAGACAGTTTATGCTGATGCAAGGGACCTCAAAGTCTCTGGCAGCTCCTGTCCATTCGGGTCTCTGGATCTGGGACTGCCATCGTGGGGCTGGGGATGTTCCCAGGGCTGGGGCTGACTTTCCTGCCTCAGCTTAACTCCTGGGGCAGCGCTGACCAATGATCACAACCCCGACTGGCAAAAAATCCAAAGCCACCTGCACTGCAGGGCAGCTCCAGGCGGCTTCACCACCGACCATCCCACCAGGAAGGAGCAGCAGCCCATCCCTCACCCACTCCCGGGTCTTTGTAAGGTTCCCACCAAGCACAGAGGGGCAGAAAGAGTTTGCCTAGGACCGGCAGCATCGCCCCGACGCCCTGGCGTATGCGCGCAGCGGCTACGCACTTGTTAGGGTACTTGCGGAAGATGTCCTTGATGACGACGATGGCCTCCTGCACCACGTAGTTGACTTTGGTCTGGATAAGGTCGAGCAGGGTGCTGACACAGCGCTCGGCCGATTGCTGTTGGAGGGACTCGGTCAGTCAAGCAGCGATACTCTTATGTCCCCATCCCAAAGCCTCCGCTGCCCTTCCCACACCCCCTCCTTGCTGCCTTACCCCCTCCGTAGCTCCCCCAAACCCAACCCAGAATGGGGGACAGACAGGTGTGGTCTCCCCTTCCCATCCAGGTCTGGCTTCTCCTCATCCCCCGTGCACGCTCCCCCACGGGATGCGTTTCAGGCCGTCAGCTGCAGGAGCACAGCAGCGAGCCCAGACCTTGGCTTGCCAGGGTAGCAGCATCGTGCACCTTGCCCGAGTTTGGATCGGCACAGCCACACGGCTCAGTGTCAAGAGAGAGGGAAAAACAGAGCTAGTGCCATGGTAATAAATCCCCCCGGGAGAGGCTGGCTTCACTGCGGAGGGGAGGGATCATTCTAACAGCAGAGCCGGGCCAGCTCAGCTCCCCGGTGGGAGGCAAAGCCTGAGCCAGCTCCAGTACATCTCCTCCTGCCTCTCGCCAGGGCCTGGCTCGCTGGTGTCGAGCTGATTGTCTCACGTGACTGAGGATGCTCTGCAGTAAACCCGGTGCAGTATCTGCTAGCTCAAAGCTACACAACCTTGCCTGTGAGCCTGCCTGTATCCAGGCCACACAGAGCCACTGTTTCAGCAAGGTTTTCAATAATTCTCTTCTTCAAATTACCCCCAAGGGGAAGCAAGGTCTCCCAGCCCCTCAGTAAGGGATCAGCTCCCTCCCGGCCCCCACTGCAGCCTCCAAACAAGCCACTTGGATCATCTGCTGCATGAACACATCAGGCACAGCTGGGCCTGCAATGGAGCACAGGGCAGGCAGGGATCCTAAAACAGCTCCAGCAGCAAAGGGTAAGGGGATGTACTCCTTACACCGTGCACGTGCCGCACAGAACAACTGTGGCTTGTCCCCAGGCCCAGGAAGGCTCTAGCTCATCGGGGCAGTGCTAACTCCTGGGGCGAGCTGACCTCCAGCTCATCCAACAACAATATCCAACAATGCCATGCCTAACCACAGTTGCTGTCGGGACCTGAAGCAACCCAGCCCTCACCTCCACCTTGATGGCACAGCGGCCGATGGCTCGAACCGCCTTCCTTACGAAGTCCACGTCCACCTCCGTGGCGTACTCCTTCAGCTCTGCCAGCACCTGCCGGAGGGAACAAGACAGTGAGAGCCCGGCAGCAAGAAAAGCCACCAGAAAAGCGGAGCAGTGACCCAGCAGAAGAGGACTGGGTGGTACAGATGCTCCCGTCCACATCCTGCAAAGCTGGGTCTAGGATTTCCCAGGTCAATCCCCTCCCTGCAGTGCTGGAGCCCCCTGCGTGCCCTGCCTGGTGCCCACCCAGTCCAGTCAGGCAGACCCTGACCTGAGCAATGTTGGCCTGGGAAGCCAGGCGGATCATGATGTCCAGCTTCTCCAGTTTGACGTAGATGGGGTCGTTGTACTTCACAAAGAACACCTTCATCTCGTGCTTCAGGATCTCGGGTCTGGAGGACAACGAGAGGCAGCAATTAAGGGAGATGCACGCTCCTTTACTTTGACCACAAAAACAGACATCAAAAATTTTCCTGAAACCATGGTTTTCTCCAGAGCTTTCTGGACACCCGATACTGCTAACAGATGATTTCTCTAGTGGCAGAAGCAAGATCTGAGCTCTGCTCCCACCTCCAGGCTCTGACCCAGGCACTGACCAGCAGGCAAAGCAGTGCAGAAAGCAAGCCGTCCTCCCCAGAAACCTGTACGCCAGTTGGGAGACGGATGGGGATTCGCCTGATCCCACAGCCAGCTAATGCCCCGAGTCCATGCAAATTCATTAGTCTGTAAGCATGAATCATCACTCCCCAGCCAAGGCTGAAGCTGGGATGGTGAAGGCTTGAGGACGCTGAGCTAGGGAAACCCAGAGCCAGAGAGCGAGCAGCTCCGGGCCAGGAGGACGAGGCTCCTTGGCCACAGGCACAAGGTTTTGGGAGCGCATTCAATGCCAAGGAATCCAAGATAGTGGGATCATCCCCCAAGGACTCTGTTCCTTGGCTCCCCTTTGCTGGGGACAGAGCACAACCTTGCTGCAAACAAAGACCAGACGCAAGGCAACAGGGGACGTTTGTCTTGCCAAGGTTGGAAGGGACATCTTGGGGGGAGCAGGGATGCAAACCCAGACCCCAGGGCTAGGTTAGACCTTTCTCACCAGATCATCCTCTCTCTAAGCTGGGAAACAGAGAGGCCAGGTCCAGCTCCAAGAAGCCAACCTGCCTTCCACATTCCCGCTCCCAGGGACACTAATTGCTTTCCACTTCTCCCAGAAATTGCTGCTATTTTTAATAGACAACCACGGTGATAACTGGTAGGACAACAAATCATCTGACCGGGGCTGTCACTGCGGAGCGTGGCTCTCCAGCTGGCCAGTTCTGCTCAGGGCACATGTGTTGGGCCTCAGATGCCTCCTGCCCACCAGCAATTTTAGATCAGCAAAGGGACAAAAGGACTTTCAGCACTTATTCAAAGAGGACAACTACACAGAAACAAGCTGATATCACAAAAATTCCTCACTCGATATTTAACGACTAAACCAAAGTCTCAGCTTTTGGCCTTGCCATCCTTTGCTCCCTGAAATAAACCCCTCCTGGAGATCGCAGCTCAGCTCCCTGCTCATTGCCTCACCTTACTCTCTGTGCGTGGCCCTGGGGTTTTCAATAATAGAGAAGAAAAAACTCATGTGACGGGTTGTGTCGGCAAAGCCCCGACACTGCCGCAGCCTGAGGGTCTGAAGCACTGGGAAGCAGCACTCGTAGAGAAGAGGGAAATCCTGAGCCAGGCTGTCCCTTCCACCGCACCGGGGCACCCACCTTTTCTGCACGATGAGGTTGATGTTGCGGAGAGCCACGTACTGCAGCTCGGGCTCTGCAGAGAGCAGGGTGACCAGTGGCGGGGCCAGCTTCTTTAGTAGCGTGCCATAATAATCCAGGTCCTTCGACAGCATCTCCATGAACTTCATCAGCACCTTCACCGCCGAGAGCACCACCGCCGAGTTGGCATGGGACAGCCGGGGCGTCACCCGCTCACAAACGCTGGAGGCGTCAGGGGTGAGGGAAAAGTAGAGGGGAAAGAAAATGATCACAGCCCATCTTCCTGCTTAAACATTGCTGCCAGTACTGACGAAGGAGGCACTGGCAGAGTTTGCAGCAGGACAGCTGAGCAGTGCTTGAGACCTTCCCAAGAGATGCTGAACTGGCTCTTAAACGCCCCAATGCAGGTTATTTCCCAGCCCCTGCAAAACTTGTTGCAGTGACCCGTTTCAGAGCTCCCTAGTGCCTGTCGTCCCTTGCTGCACTGCAAGGCCACATTTTGAAGCAGCTCGAGAAGCACAATCCCTGCGCCAGCACGGGGATAGGGTTTGCTACGGGACCACAGCAGTCTCCAGATGGTTGTGCCCAAGGCACAGCGGCCAGCAGATCCCCACTGTCCCACCTCCTGCAGCGGGATATTAAGGGTCAGGAGGACGAAGATGCTTCTTAGAGGAGAAGGGGCAGCGTCAGGCCCTTCAGTCGATACCTGCCTATTCCCCTGCCCTTCCCAGCCCTGCTCTGGCCAGTCTGTGGTGCCCTGAAGGCAGCCCTGCTCCAGCAGCACCTCACCTCTGGGCTTCCCGGTCATCCTTGGGCATGTAATTTGCCAGACAGTCCAGGATGAAGATCTGGCCCCACTCGGTGCACTCGTTCAAGGCCGTGAGCAGCTTGTTGATGGACTGGGGGTTGAGGTCCAGGAGGTTACTGTTCGGGTGAGACTCAGCTATTTCAGAGAGAGCCGCTACAGCATTGGCCACTACCTGTCAGAGGGGACAGGACACGTGTTAGGTGACACCAAATGCGGTTCAACAGCCTCAGGGAAAGCTGGTGCAAGCGGATGAGCTGCATCCTCGGTATCGGCACCTCGCATCCCAGCGACATCTGGGCACCAGCTTCTCCCCACCAGCTGATCCACAGGAGATGAGCAATCAGCACCAGCACAGTCCCACCACCCACGCCACATCTCCAACTGTTCGCACGTGTGCGGCAGGAGTCAGCCTTGGCCCCATGCCCAGCACGGAGGAGCCTGGGCAGCTCTGAGGAGCCCCATCACTTTCTGCAGCAGCTCCCGGGCTCGCTGCTACGCCTGTGGTGAGATCTGAAGAGCAGGGAAGGCTGGGGGAAGAGAAACCCTGGGGAAAGCAGGCTTTAAAGTTTCACACGCCTGGGGAATGGCAGGGAGACTAATGCTGGCCAAAGCCCTGCTGCTAGGAAACCCTCACCAGAGGCAAAAGCCACCAGCTACGTGGAATCAGAGCCAAGCATCAGCTCCCCTCTGCCACCATCCCCTCCTCTGACCTGGCCAGGCAGTCTCCTCCCCACGGGGAACACACTGCCAAGGAATCGGAGAAACCTTCCATCCAGGAGACAAGATTACAGGACAAGGAACACAGCCTGCAACCCTGAGAAACAACTGTCCCCAAAAGTGGTCTGTCAAGCACCAAAAAGAGAGTGAAGGGGAGCATGGGAGGAAGTGAGCCAGCATGCGGAGATGAAGGGAAGATGAAGGGAGAGCATTTCCTGCCATTCGGATGAAGAGAAGAGAGGATGGAGAGTGCGAAAAATAATCACCATGGGGTTGGAGTCCGAGATGAGGTCTTTAAGGGTGTCCAGGAAGCCCTGGTCTTCCACCAGCTGGGCATTGATGTCATGGAGCTTTGCTACGCAGACGGCTGCCGTCTTGCGCACGTAAGGGTCTTCATCCTTCAGACACTTCCGCAGGGGCTCACAGAGATACTCCGTTATCTTGTCCACACGGATGCAGCCCATGGTCCGGACAGCCAGAGCCCGGATCAGAGGGTTTGGGTCCTCGCAGTCCTGCGGGGATGAGAGGGGAAGGTTAGATATCCTGGGCCACTTCTTGAATCACAGGCATCAGTGGTAGCTTTGGGATCTCCATTCTTGTTTGGGTACCTGAACTCTCGAGGTTTTAACACTCGGTTCTTGAGAACAAGTCACCCGAGAGAGGTTTCATCTCTTGTTCTGCAATCTGGCACCCACAGAGTTTTACCACCACCAGTTCTCACTCCAGACACACCTCCGGGAATCTGATGTCTTCATCATTTACACCAAGTATCTGAAGTGAGCTGCCACCCTGCAGGACGACCGCCTGACCTGGGAAATGCATCTATCGGGTTTATGGTGTGGGGTTTTTCCTCTTCCTAAAAGGCCAAAACGCCCTCTAATGCCCACAAAGACTTTTTCACAAAGTGATATGGCAACATCTTGGCTCCTAACAAACATGCTCTTCAGTTCCCAGCTACAACTGGAAGATCACGAGGGCTTTCTCAGCTGCAGAGACTTCAGCGCATAAGCTCACAGGACGGCAGCTTGATCACGGGAGCTGCCCACAACCCAAGCTGCCACTGACAGAGCAAGTGGCACAGTGTGGCTGCCAAGAAAATGTTTTTCTTCTGCATTACTGGACAAATTCACTCAGTTATCTAGAGCAAGAGGAGCCTCTACTCCTGAAGGGTGAGGCTTTGGAAACCTGCCCACGCTCCCGTCTTTGGAGCGGGGTACAAGCAGCTTAGCGTGGTGGCCTCGCATGAAAGCAAGGATGTACATGGTGGGCTGAACCGAGCCGCTGCAGTGTGTGGCACTCAGCCACGCAGCCCTCTCCTCTCACCTTCACAAAGGTGTTGACTGCCATGATGGCCATGTCCGGCTGGCTCTTGGCGTAGTTCATCAGGTAGAGGTAGACCAGCTTCTTCAGCTCCAGGTTGTCTGTCTGCATGCAGTTCACCACGTCTGGGAAGAGAGCGCTGAAACACAAAGCACCTCCGTGAAGGCAGGATACGGCCACACTGCTGAGCCGGGAGAAGGAGACACTGCTGCCTACGAGACCCCACATTTCCCTAGTGTGTGCCCACCCCCTTCCCATGGCTCAACCCACTCTTGAAGCCAGAAGACCCCAGGCTCTCCCAGGACCTGAGCCCACCCTGCAGCAGATGTGGCTAAATCACCCATCCCCAGGGGTTTTTTCTTTACGGATCTGTATCAAGAGCAGCTCAAAACAGCTCCTAATGGACCGAAACCGAGCTCTCCCGCACAGCTCTGCTGTACCCCAGCTCCAGTGCATGTCCACTGCCCTGGGAGAAGGTGCAACATCACCCAGCCATCAGGGGACGGTGCGAAAGGCCCTGGCGCCTGTGAGAGGACGGGGGAGGTGAGCTATTCCCCCCACGCCTTCTGCACAATCCCTCCCGCACAGCCCTACCAAAACCGTCCTCTGCTTTTGTGGACGTTAAACCTGTCCTGCTGCAAACTGCTGAGCGCTTGTCCCATGTCCTACATGAGAAACATGATGTCAGAGAAGTAAACCCCCAGGACTGGGTGTAAGGAAGAGCCCCGCTCCCCTGGGCGAGCCCTGCAGCAGAGCGATGCTCTGCCAGGAGGGAGCAGAGCTGCCAAGCTGCCTGCATGGAGCTGGCGGTTTCCCCTTCCCAAACACCCTAATGCTGCGGGATGCCAGAGACTCCGTTTCACCACAGACGATACAGACAGACCAATTAGAGTATTAAATATAGACAGACCAATTAGACTATTAAACCACCTTAAGAGAGGCAATCAAGATCGGGGGCTAACACAGGAGTGATCCCACCCTGACAGATGTCCCTTGGCTCCTGGAAGCTTCTCCACCGCCGCAAACCCAGCCATGGCTCACAGGATCAAACCCAGGGCAGCCTCACCCCAGGGTACCGCACTTTGCTAGTTCTCTCTCACAGCGCTTCTGCTGCCGGCAGAGCTGCCACCCACCTCAGCTGCTCTCACCCCAGGCTAAACCAGGCTTTCTGGCACAGCCCAGGGAGGGGTGAACTTAGTAAAACTGCTTTCTTGCAGCCTAAAATACACACACACCAAAAGAAAAAAAGGGCTGCCACAGCTGATATTTCCTTTCCAATCGATGCAGCTTCTGCTGAGCACTGACCGGCCTCAGGAAAGTCCCTGCCACCTCCAGTGTCATCTTCTCCACGGCCGCCCCAAGACAGAGCATTACCTGCTGCTGCGAGCACTCTGGGAGCTGGGGACGCACCGGTTTTCCTAACACAGAGCTCAGAGTAAGTTTTTCCTCCATCTACTCTCAAATGCACTGTGAAAAGCAAAGCGCTGACGTTGCCTGTAATGCCGAGGGTGTGCGGGGACAGGTCCATGTGGGGAGGAGGGGACGGAGGGGCCATGTGCGGCTCGGCCGGACGGGTAAAGGAGAAGAGGGCACAGCAGCCGCCCGACCTTTTGGACTGGAGTGGCCACAAAAGGCTTATCGACACCGAGGCAGAGACACCGACCCTCTGCCATGAAGGCTCAGAGGGGGGTTCTGCTTGGTTTTAGCAACACATGAAGGAAGCGGCGATAATCCTAACAAACTTATCTGCCAGCCTGACCAATCCTCTTTTAGCCAGATTACTACCACGGCCAGGCAAGCCCCCGCCTGCCAGACGGCCACACTTACACAAACATTTTCCACCCGTAGCAGGAGGTATAGCTGCGGCCAGAAGCTCGCTCGGTCCTTGCCCAAGATGAAAGCCAGCACAAAAACCCCTTGGAGGCAACGGGGGAAAAATAGGAGCCCACAAGCCACCCAGGCACCCTCCTGGCGCGGTTTGGCCCGGGCAACCCCAGCACAGCACCACCACGCACCTGACATCTTTGCCGACAGTCATGGACGCTATCACCTTCTTGACGGCCTCCTTCTTCTTCTCCTTCTTGTCGCTGTTCAGTTCAGCTTTCAGCTCAAATATCTCCCCTGGAGAAAGGGGAAAAGGAGGAACTCAGGGGTTAGGGGATGGGGCACCCCCCTCTGCTGGGTGCTGCTCCCAGGGAAGGGTAAGCACAGCTCCCACCTACTGCATGCCAGGGCTCTTTTGCCACCCCAGGGTGCCAAGTGCTGAAAAGGGGGATTTAACTTCCCAAATGTCTCACCAAGGGCTAGGGTTGCTCTGGGGGCTCAGCTCTGGTCCGTGAAAACAGAGACAAGCGTGTTAGTGCATCCCTGCGGCTCCTCCAGCCCCACAAGAGCCCCAGAGGGCTTTAGATGCTGCCGGAGGGATGAGCACAAGCACCCTACACCTCCAGCACAGGACACAGGGTTTATTCAGCAGGTATTTTTGGCTGTGGGGCAGTTATGACAGCACACAAAGTCCCAGCCCCACACACGGCTGTTGGGAAGTCCTTCCCTACCTGAGGAGCCCACCGCAGCCCAGATGACGGCAGGGACCCACAGCAGCAAACACAGGCAGATTTTGGGGGCTGATCCTCAAGCCCATGCAAGGGATGGAGGCTCCCAAATCCCGCTCGGCATGTGGCACCAATCCCCCAGCGCAGCACCTTGCTGGGGGCAACCAGCGGCTCCAGATCCAGCCGAAGGGCATTGTCCCCTCCCCTCCCAAAGCCACACGGAGCTCTTTATTCACTCCCAGGCAGGCAGATAGAAGAGGAAGATGCCACATGGCTTTCCTCCACATTAATTCCTTGTCCTGGAAAGTGCTTAAGTCCAACACCCTGAGCGCTTCTGTCCCAGCCCAGGGGAGCTCGGCAGGGGGCCGTGTCCTGCGGCTGCTCCTGAGCTGCTAAAGCCGATATCACAGCCTTGTCTGGGTTCAGGGGGCTGGTGACGAGGTGCTCTGACCTCAGGGCAGCCCAGGAGCTGCCCCAGCTGCATCGGAACGAGGTGTCAGCCACGGCATCCCAAGTGGGCTCAGGGCATTCCCATGAGAGCTGGCACCTCCGCTACCTTCCCACTGCAGGGACAGCCTTCCTCACCTGGCCTATATAGGTGCAAGAAGAGCCTGATTATTTGGGAAAAATTGTGTGACCCTCCCGCTCTCTCTCTTACCTTTCTTTGTGGTGGTGAAGTATTTCGAGTCCGTCATGGTGGTCTCCAGCTAGCAACACGTCCCTGGGAGGAGAGGCAGACCAGAGAGGTTGAGGGTTAATAATTTCCTTGCTGGGATCACTACCGAGAGATACGG